CACCCACGACATCCTCAACCTTAATGCGCCTACAATACCTAAAGTCTCGGTGACTCTCGGAGTGCCCCAATTGCCCTAACACGATGTATCCATCCCCCTCTTCATTCAGAAGTTTATGAAAGTAACTGCCATCATTGCCTAATCTGGGCCTCTTCCATCAATACTCGACCGTCCTCGTCATTGATGCACCTCACTTGATCCAGGCCGCGAGCCTTCTTCTCTCTCGCTTTGGCTAACCGAAATAACTTCTTGTCTCCACCTTTACCGAAATATCAAACACAAATATCAAATTGAAAAATTAATATCAATAGTATTATTTCTCCACTGTATTTGAATATTTTACAAAAGAATACATTAAAAAGTTGCAAGGGTCATCTATATTAATAATTTTCTAGAATAAAAAATTAAAAATATACCAATCTATCTTCTGTAAACTAATCTAGATTACATCTAAATTGGTCTTGCAAGTGTTTCAATAGTGGAAAAAATTAGCTACTTGATGAAAGAAATATCATTCTTTATAATACGAAAAACTATGATTTCACTACAACAAATATGATTTTTAACCACAAAATTATTAGCTACAACAGAAAATTCGTCACTAATCGTCCATTTTCTATGACCAAAATTATATTTCGCACTTAAATGCATGAGACACATACTTTTAGCGACGAAATGCAAATTTCGTAGCAAAAGTTTTGTCTACTAAGATTTTCCACCAAAAAAATTAATTTGCGCCAACTATTGAGTAGCATTAGCCACAAAATTAATGTTATTGGTGACAAAATAGTTTTATCATTAATGTTATAGATATTTGGTGACAGATAATTATTCGTCTTAGAATTAGTTATATTTTGGCTACCAAATATTTTCGTCACTAAAAAGTTTTATAATTTTTGTGACCTTAATTTTTGTCCCTAATAGCATAAATAATTAGTGACAATCATCGTAACGTCTTTATTTCACGTATGAGATTATTAGGTACCATAGAAAGTTCGTCATTAATTATTAACTTTTTAGGACAAAAGTTACAATTGTACTTAAATGCACAAGTCACATGCTTTAGTGACTAAAGCATGTTTTTTTTTTTTCGTCACTAAAGCATGTTTTTTTTCGTCACTTTATAAATAAAAAAAAAATATGCTTTAGTGATGAAATACAGATTTCGTAGCAAAAGTTTTATCTACTAAGGTTTTTCTCCAAAAATATGGATTATCGGTACTTATTTACTAACATTAGCCACAATGTCATTATAAAAAATTTCAGGATCTACAGCTAAACAACTCATTGCAAATTCGTTTCAGGGATTATTTTTATAGATACGTTTATAGCAATAATTTTAAAAAGTTCGCAGCATATTTTCTTGTTAATTCAATCATGGTTTGTATAACATATCTATACTATTATAAAAATAAAAAAATTAAAATAAAATATTGATCGACTTTTTGCTATTTCATAACTAAATTTTATATTCTCAAAGTTGTAATTACATCGATTTATTTCTTTACTTAAGTAATAGTTATAAATGCATTTATATTTTAAAGACAATTTCATTCCTTCAAGAAAAGATAATTTCCTTTTCTATTTGTGTTTAGGTATATTTTTAGGAGAAAAAGTTTTAATTTCTCTTTTTGCAAAATATGTGATCTTTTTTTTTCTCATTTACATCTAGAATTTTTGCAACTAGAAATAAATTGATTATCCTCTAGAAAAAGTGATATTGGATTATTGGTATCGGGTTAGACGATTTAATTTTATTTAACTATTGAGTTATCGGTTCGGACTTCGGTTTGTCCAATTTTGCTAACGATTTAATCGATAATCCAATAAGCTTTAGCAAAATTATTATTTTACCCTTAAGTATATAAAGCACTTTAGGACTCGATTGTTTTAAACTTTCTGATTTCTCATTTTCATTCTTCAGTTCAGATTTTCTAGTTTAAAACTTTTAAGGAATTAATTTTTCAGATTTTTAGTTAAACATGTTTAAGCCAAGTCTTATCCAATAGTTGTGCATATTTAATAGCAAGTCATAAAATACTTTCCGCATCACTTGACATAATAACAAGCACGAATTTTATATTAAAGTCACTGAGGCTCTTATTGTTTTAAAATAATGGATCCACCTCTGTTTTCATTATAATAAAAGTATGAGTTGACGATGTTAAATTTTATACACAATGTCACATAATAATTTTTTGTAGGCTTTAATAAATGGAAATTGGGTTTAATTATTGGTATAAATACTTTTAATCATGAATTGCTACTTGTTAACAAAAATTCAAAGTGTTAATAAATTGGCAATAATATTTTCGCAGTTATTACAGTAAAACTATTTTATCATTGACAAAATACTTAATTTTCTTTCATCATAAAATAAAATACTACTTAATTCTCTGGGAAGAAATATTTCTATTTTTTCTTCAAATTTTCACGAAAAAGTAGCGGCAAGTTTCCCTCCTTTTCCCCCCAAATCCCTCTTTTAATTGAATGTTGCTGCTTATTTTTAGTTCCCCCTATTTCTCCTCCTCATATCACGTTAAGTGATCTTCATCCTCCAAATCAAACCGCTTCCAAAGTAAAATCTGCAGTATTTTTACCATCAATTGAATGTTGATCAAATCTGGTATGATGGGCGTTTTAAGACAAGGTATATAACCTATTTTACTTTCTTTCAATATGTATTTAGGGCATTACAAATTAGGTATGTATTTATTAGGGTGTTCTTATTTTATTTTAATTAATTGCAAGCATATGAAGAAATTTTGTCTCCTCTTATTTAATATTTGAGAGATTAACCGCTCAAAAGTTTATCGTCAGTCTCAATTCTTGTGGTTATGGCTAAAGAACAATTGGAGAAGTGTCTCTATCAATACCTATTTCTCATTCTATAATTTCAATTAATATTTAATTTGTACTTATACGTTTAAAATGAGATTTTTCTAATTCATGTGATAAAAAAATATGTATTAAAATTATAGCTTCTTTTCCTTTTTGCGGATAGATGAAGATGGAAATTTATTCAAGAGTTAAGCTATTAGGCACGCACTAGCATTTGGGGAAGTAACTCTTTTTTTTTTTTTTTTTTTCCAATAATCAATATTCATGTATTTCGATTAGACTTTGTGTTAGATAAATTTTATTTTATTTATGTGTTTCAGTTTAAGAATTTTGTAATGAGATATTATTTTAATATTGTTCTTGATTTTAAGATCACGAGTGCAAAATTTTGTTGTTACCTTGTATGTTTTATTATGTAAGTATTTCCAATTGATGTAATGATAAATTTTTGAATTAACGAAAAATATAACAAAATACTAATTATAAATAGTACCACTACGGATCGAAACATAATCAAATATTTGTAATTAGCGACCAAAACTTTTACCTGCAGGAAGCTTTTTTTTTTAGCAACGACTACATCATAATTTGACCACGAATTCCTTAGTTTTATGACAACTGTAATTGTCACTAATCATATGAAAGCAATATTTTTTGTGATGAAATAATAGTTTTCTACTACAAAATTGTAAATCATTTTTACAAAAGCAAAGTTGTCAGTAATTTATATTTTTAGGGACAATATATCTTTTTGTATATAAAAGGTAGTCTTTAGTGACAAAATTGTGTTTATTCAACTACGAAATATATATAGTTTTAGAGACGATTGACGTCGTCATTAATTAAACTAAATAGTTAGTGACGAGGTAATTTCGTCGGCATTAATGCACTTTTTAGTGACGAAACCCACTATTAGGTACGACTTTTTTATCCTATTTACGACAAACAGGCTCGTCATAAATACTACATAATTTGGGACGAAAAAAATTTCGTAATTAATATAATTTTATTTAGCGACAAAACACAAAGTTGTCTTAGTATACTATTAGTGACGGTGTTTTAGGGACGAAAATTTGACAAAACAAATTTTGTCACAAATATTCTTTGGTGACGAAAAATGAATTTTAGGTGACAAAATAATTCATCACTGATAATCAATGAATTTTAGGTGACAAAAACTTTATATCTTGTATACATCAAAATTAAGAATTTTTTTTTTTTAGTACAATAAGCAAAGTGAACTTCCAAGGGGATTTGCATTCCTGATGAGGCAATTTACTACTTCAAAAAAAAGAGAACAATAGGCATTAAAACAAATATTAACATGATATAAATTATTATTTTTATTATTATATTCTTTTACATGATATATATTATAATAGTTCAATATAGTAGTTTAAATTTTTTTTTTGTTATAACTCATTTAAAATGATGTTAATTTGTGATAAAAAAAAATAAACATTTGATAGAAATCTATATAAATTATACGGACTTTAATTTTTTTCTCAATAAGGAGATGAGAGAAATGTTTTTATCTTTTATAGAATTATCATATGTTAATTTTCATAATGAAACATATAAAAATTATAACAGGTAATATTTAAAATAATTTATTGATAGTTGAAAACTTATCATGGAAGAATGGAGTTCAACCCATATAAATTATGTTTTTACATCAATTAAGTATATAAGAGATAGCCTCCTAGTACAGTAAAAGCAAATCTCATTTCTTAAATTAACTTTTGAGGTTTAACAAACTATACTTTTTAAAATTACTTTTGAATATAAAATATTTTAGTTTGAAATCGCTTTCAAATAAGTGTGGATAGATGAAACCACTTAATTTTCATTTTTAAACTACTTTAAAATAATGTGGGTAAATATGAAAATGTTGCAAATATTTACCGTTACTTCTTTTTGTTGCCCTATTATTTAAAAATCAATTTTACTTTCTCTATGAAAACTTCTATTTGACTAAAACAAAATTAATAATTTTACCAAATGATGAAAAAGGTTCACATTACTTCCTGCAAAAATAATCTAATCAATACTGACACAGTGTATTTAAGCAAAAAGGTTCACACTACTTCATGCAAAAAGGAGAGTTGTGACTAGGGAAATGTGGGGTCTACGTATATCAAACATTACCTGTTAAGAAATGCAAGGAGGGGCGTTATTTAAAAAATACAACAATGGAATTCTTATGAAATGACATATATGTCTTTGGTCGACCATCTTTCCTTTTCTATATAACAGATTCATTTACACGGTTTTGAACTACTTATTAGCTTTACAACTTGTAATCTCATATGTATATTTGACCAAATAAGTTGGCCATCAAACGTACATGTTGGTATCAGAACCAAACCCCCGATTGTTCTCGTGTGTAGTCTCATCTGTCCTCATGCATCAGTTGAATCCGGAGGAACTTTACCATCAAAACAACCTATCTCTCGCTTCCTTGGCCTGTAATGTTAAAACACCAAAAGTAAGCAATCTTAAAATTGTGAAAAGCATATCTATTTATAGAACCAGCTTTTTCTTCCACTCGGAAAATGTGGGATAGAAGAACATTTCCTGATCAAGTGTAATCATTTGATTTGAGAATCTCATAGGAATTCTTTTTTCAGGAAAAGGTGAGAATGAGAATAAGATTTGCAAATCAATTGTACCATTGCTAACATGAACTCAGAACAACTAGACGAATTATTACCTGTTTTTTCCAATCTGTGAGGTAAGTGACAACAGAAAGTAGAATAGCTTGCACTACAGACCCCATGATTAATCCACTCCAGAGGCCCTTCTCTTTCCAATTCAAAACGAATCCCATTAACAAAGAGGCAGGAATTCCAATCAGGTAATATGCTCCTAAATTCACATAGGCCACTATATGTTGCCAACCACTTCCTCTTGCAACTCCAGCTAATAATGTTATTATGCTATCCAGGATGATGGAGAGGCAGAGAAGAGGAGTTAGTTCTTCGATAAGATTCACCACTTCTTGTTCATGTGTGAAAGCATATCCCCATACATTACGCAAGCAAAATATAATCGCACTTGCCAGAAGGAACTCTACAGTTGCTAGAGCGAAGACTGCACAAATAGAAATTCTAACTGCTTTTGGATTCCCAGCTCCCAACTCATTTGAAATCCGAGTGCTACGTTCAAAACGGTAATGAGTTAATTTAAGAATATCATATCGTACTAATCGTCACATCAAAAAATTCATTGTTAGGATGAATGTTGAAGAGAAAACCTTGCAGCAGTACTGAAGGAACATGGTATAAAGTAATGTAATGAAGTAGTTGTAAGGCTGCATCCAAATAAATTTAATTATCAGTTCTTGTTATAAAATCGAAATATAAACGTTAGCAGAGAGCTGCATACCAAATAGATAGGACAGAAGTCTCTAGTTGTGGATTTGGCAGCAATCCGCAAAACAACAGAATTAGTTCTGTTGCCCACCATTTCAAACTACATTTATAAGTAATAAATTAAGCCTTAAATAAGATATCGTTAACAACATATATGGAAGATATAAGTTTTCCAGAGTCCAGACTTGGAAATCTGATAGTTAAATTACCAAACCATTGCAGCAGACGGAATAGCAAATTGGATGAACTCCGGCATAACAAGGAAAACATCCTTCTAGAAAAAAGGAAGTGTCTTTTGACAAGTTGACGAATACTTTAAGCAAATCACAAGTAAAATCACGTTCAACGAATATGATAAACCAATCGCCAAAGCAGCTCCACCGGTCCCTAACTCATATTTGAATATGAAAGCCCAACTGAGAGGTATGTTAAAGCATAGAGACACTACTGAGCTCCATACCATTGGAATGATCAAACTTTGAGTCTGAAAGTAGCAAACAAGTGACTGAAGAATAGCATAAGGAACGAGAGTTGGGATGAGATAAATCGAGTACTTTCCAGCTTCAACAGAGATTAATGGGTCTTGGCCAATCCATAGAAGCAATTTTCCAGTGAAGATCCATAGAAGAGAAACTGGCAGACACGCGAATAATAGAAATATAATGGCAGCACAAGTAATAGTGCCAACTCTCTAATATTGCCTTGCTCCATAGGCCTGTCCACATAAAGTTATCGACCCAGTTGCCAGTCCAAACTGTACACCAAATTCTGATTCAAATGTCTTAAGTACCTCAAGCAATCTCTAGATAAACAGTGATAAAATACATTCACATTTTGGAAATAGAGGTAAGTCTAAAATCAGAACAGATAAGTTTATACACATTTCTTTACATTATTATTGTAATTTATCTGGTTGTAGCTAGTACATTACATACATCATTTAATTTTTTAGAATATAAACCCACACTTACTATAGTCAATTTTTTGTATTATCTCTTAAGTCACCTGAGGTGAGACAAATTTTACATGTTAGTGCTTGAACATTCTTGTCTCTTATTGTGACTTTTCGTAGTCTAACTTGTCTTCAGAAAAGCTTATGCACAATTTAGAAAAGCATAAGTATTCCAACTAACCATAGTTCTTTTATATATAGTTTATCATGTAAAGATCTAGAAGCTTAGGCCAGTTGATTTTGGCCAAATCCCCGTTTGACATTTGAACTTATTTCTTGGCAAATTTTTTTTAGATGGATGGAGTACTTTCTTAGTAGGTGGAATAAAGAATTATTAGCATATAATATCAAAGCAAAAATGTAAGTCCAAAACCAGAAATCTGAGAGCATGCATATTTCTCTGTGTGGATTAATCTTACTAGAATTCTATGACTAATAATCCTTCTTAAACTGTTCATCAGTGCTTGTGTTGGGCTAGTTTAGCCCAAATATACTCTTAATATGGTGTGATATAGTCCGCTTTGGGCCAAGAACTAGCCCAAATATACTCTTAATATGGTGTGATATAGTCCGCTCTGGGCCAAGCCCGCATGTTTTTTCCCAAAATGCCTCACACCATTAAGAGATTCATGCACCTTATATGTAGGCTTCCAATGTTTTTAGCTACCAATACGGGACTTTGTACGCACACCCAACAACTTAAAGTTAAGGTACTGCTACAAATTAAAGAATGTTCAGAACAGAAATTAGTAAGGAGCTTACAAGGATGGCAAAGCCAGTAACGTTGCAGTAAGATGTGGCGATGGAGGCACTTGAGAAGGAAAGTTCACTTAAGTGACCCAGCATAACCATTGGTGCATAGCGCAGCAGGAATTGACACACATGCACCACTATCATTGGAATCGCCATGCGACTCACTTCTTTCACCTCTTCTTTAAACACTGCCTTTTTGCTGATCTCATTATTCAATGGCAGCTCTTCCCATTTCCTCGAGCAACACCTTCTTTAATGGTTAAAACACCAAACGTTAATAAGATATGAGGGTTCGCACGAGAACATCATAAGCTTGAGGAAATTTGAAAGAGAGAATGATAGGGGAGACCTCGGGAAGTATATTAATGTTGGTAAGTTTGATCAGCCTATATTTAGGATCTTTAATTTTCGTGGAATTTTATAAGCTTCTTGTCTTTCTCATATAACTGTTTTTAATTCCATATATGCAAATTCTAGTTGACTTTGGCAATTTTAAGTGACTACGCCAGATGGATCACGTATAGAGTTCTTTATTCTACCATTATTTGAATCAAGTACTATATATAGTTGAATGAAACCTGACATACGTGAGCAGAAGCTTCACAGCTACTTCTATTCATGAGCAGTCCTTAAACTCATATGTTCAAACTCAAGTTGACTTCTATATTTTATGTGATTTCGTACACCATATGCCCATTGCACATTCTTTAAAGAATTCAACATACTATACCCCTAAACTCGCAAGCCTTTAACACACTGTTACTTTACGGGCATCATTTTACACATGCATCACTCACGATGTGGCATGTGTGATAAGTAAAAAATGAATTGAAAATACCCATCAAAGTGTTCGAAATTCCAAGAACACCAAATCTCTCTTTGAAAATTCTTAAAAGAGCTAGTTGATGGTAGGCTAGAAACCCCTGTTTTAGTCGTATTTTGCAATTTAATTACTGTACCTTATTTGTGTTTGCGCTTAAATGATGGTGATTCGGACATATTGCGTGTTTTATGCCTTGCAGGAAATGATTCCGAGTCAAAAAGACAAATTGGAGCTAAATCAAACAATTTGGAGCTTTGAAGTCTGAGTAAAAGCCCAAGGAATTAACCCGGGATCGCGTTCGGGGGTCAAGGACCAAGTCTGGTGTTACGACCCCAAATTTTCCCCGTAGAATGTCGTGACGACACCTAATCTCTAAGACTAGGTAAGCCTAACAACATGCGGAAACATTAAATAAATCTTAGAACTTCAAAACTCCAAAATATCATAAATATAAGTCACAAGCTCTAGATACAGTGCTGAATAATCCTATACATCACTGTCTATGAAAGAGTAAAGAAATAAGGAAGAACTGGATAGAAGGAGACTCCGAGGTCTGTGGACGTGGGCAGGTGTACCTTGAAGTCTCCAAAGCAAGCTCAGGGCACTAATACCGGGACTGATAAGATGTACATGGATCTGCACAAAAACGTGTGCAGAAGCGTAGTATGAGTACGCTACAACGGTATCTAGTAAGTGATCATACTAACTTCGGTAGAGTAGTGACGAGGTCAGGTCAAGGCCTTACTACAGATAATAGGAAATAAGACAGAAAATATAATGATATAATGAAATGACAAAGGCAGTTAAATAATAAAGAAATTACGGAAAGTCAACAACATGGAATCAAGGCAGTTAATACTACACGAAAGGAAAGCAGGGATTTTACATGTTAAGGAAACAACAACCAAACAATTACAACAAAGTGAGAGAGATCAACAGGGGCACTCCCGAGGTACCACCTCATAGTCCCAAATCTTAAAAATAACTCATAGTATTTCCTTATATCACTACGGGAGCCTTTACATTTAGTTTTGAAAATTATTTTTCCGAAATAACACCCCGTGTTCTTATCACACCGCATGGATTCTAGTAGTTCCCCTACTAGCCATGCGTATCAAACCCACCTTATCTCACCGCATGCGTTTCAACATCCAGACCTTATACCACCGCATGCGTATCAACAATAACAACGGCACGGCAGAAACCTCGTGCAAATAGTAATAACTGCACGGCAGAAATCTCGTGCAAATAATAACAACAGCACGACAGAAACCTCGTACAAACAATAACAACAGCACGACAAAAACCTCGTGCAAACAACCAAACAATCACCTCAACAATAACACGAATGCCAAGACATAACAACTAAATCAAATAAAATTTCACAACTTACACCTTGCCTCAATAGAAACCACGGCCTTTGTAACTCAACACCAAACTCAACAGCAAGATATTTCAAGAATAGCAATTTAAAGAAAGAATTCATAGTTAAGTAATGAATACGAAATCAAGAAAACAAGTAATTCAACTAAACATGTAGTACAAGTTGTAAATAGGATATAAGGCAAGTAGACATGTGAAATTAGGCTAAACATGATGACAATAATATGCTAAAGTAACTTAATTAAGGCATGAAAAGGAAACTACATAGCTAAAACTGGAATTCCAACATTTAGCTGTGTACTAACTCGTCACCTTGCATACACAACCTTCACATATCATAATTTATCACACAGTACCAGATCCTAAGGGAAATTTCCCCAACACAAGGTTAGACAAGTCACTTACTTCAAACCACGCCAAATAAATCAATTAGAAAACCTTTCCCTCTATTTTCTGACTCTGAACGGCTCGAATCTAGCCAAAATAATTTCATACTATAAATTTAACAATAGGATACTAATTTAAATAATGAAATAATGATCTTAGCAAAGAATCGAAAAATTGCTCCAGAAAGTCAACTTGGGCCCGCGTCTCGGAACCCGACCTAAATTATAAAATCTGAACACTCATTCGATATCGAGTCCAACCATACAAGAATTACACAAATCTGATACCAAAATCTCGCTCAAATTCCCAAAATTCTGCCTAAGAAGTTTCCTCCATTTTTTTTCCTAATTTTCAACACAAACCCCTAATTAAATGAAGAAATCAAAGGTATATTAGTGGAATTTAATAAAAAAAATAAGCTAAGAACTCTTACCCCAACAATCCCTCTAAAAATCCCTCGAAAATTCGCCTTAAACCGAGCACTCTAAGTCTAAACTGTGTAATATGAAATAAACCCTCGATTTTGAAACTTAAGTCTGCTGCCCAGTTATTTACACTATGCGATCGCGGAAATTCCTTCATGATCGCGAAGAACAAAATTACCAACAGCTCAAAAACCTTATACGCGAACGCAGATGTAACGACCCGGCAGTCGTTTTGAGAGTTAGAGCTCCGATCCCCTATTAACTGCTTTCCCCATATCTATTTCTGCCATTGTGACTTGCCGGGAGGTTTCATTTTGGTTTTTGGAAGTGTTTGGGAGATTTAGTCCCTAAATGGAGATTTAAGCTTTAGGATTTGGACTGTAGTCGGAACTGTGTGAAGACGACTCCAGAATTAAGTTCTGTCGATTCTATTAGCTTCGTTGGGTGATTTTGGGCTTAGGGGCATGTCCGAATTGTATTTTAGAGGTCCATAGCTCATTTAGGCTTGAAATGGCGAAAGTCGATTATTTTCAAGATTGGGACCGGTAGTGGAATTTTTTATACAAGGTTCGGAATCCGATTTCAGAAGTAGGAGTAGGTCCATAGTGTTGATTATGACTTGTGTGCGAAACTTGGGGTCAATCGGACGTGGCTTGACAGGTTTCGATATTGGTTGTAGAATTTTAATGTTTCAAGTTCTTTAAGTTTGAATTGGAGGGTGATTCATGATTTTAGCATTGTTTGATGAGATTTGAGGGCTCAAATAAGTTCGTATCGTGTTTTAGGATTGGTTGGTATGTTTGGTTGAGGTCTCGGGGGCCTCGAGTGTGTTTCGAATGATGAAATCAACAATTGATTAATGGAATACAACCAAAAATGGGGTCGCAGGTGCGATTTTAGTCATGAGGGTCAGAGGTCGCAGATGCGACGCAATAGCCGCAGAAGTGGAGCCGCATCTGCGGAAGAGTGATAGCAGAAGCGCATCCGCAGATGCGGATATAGGTGCGCAGGTGCGCAGTCTGAAGAGTTAACGAATTTTTGTAGGTGCAGAGCTCTAGCCGCAGAAGAGGTACCGCAGAAGCGAGATATTGACCGCATGTGCGGTTTAACTAGCAGAAAAAAGGCAAAATCGAGGGTTTGAATTCATTCTTCATTTTTGGACTTGAGAGCCCGGATTTTGGCAATTCTTTGAAGGATTTTCAGAGGAAGTTATTGGGTAATAATTCCTAACTCGTTTTTGGTTGTATTCCATTAATCAATTGTTGATTTCATCATTTAATTAGGGATTTGAGTTGGAAAATTAGGGAAAATTTGAGAAAAGTTCTTAGGCCGAATTTTGGGATTTTAATCGAGATTTTGGTATCGGATTTGAGTAAAATTGGTATGGTTAGACTCGTGAGTGAATGGATGTTCGTAATTTGTGACTTTTACCCTATTCCTAGACGTGGGCCCGTGGAGGCTTTTTGAGCGATTTTTTAATTTCTTGCTTTAGCTTTGATTTCATTAGCTAGATTAGTTCCATATAGTTATATTTATGTTGTACAATTGATTTTGGCTAGATTTGGGCCATCGGAGCCGGATATTCGTGGGAAAGGCATTGTGACTGATTAATTGAACTTGGTTCGAGGTAAGTGGCTTGCCTAACCTTGGGGGGGAGGGGGGGGGAGAGGGGAACTCCCCTTAGGATTTGGTACTGTTTTTGATATGTGAGCGCTGTGTACGTGAG